CTTTATGCAGATACATATGTAATAATATGATTTCATTGTATCTTACATATGTTTTATAATATAAAAACCCACTTATTTTGTATAGACCATGTTGCTTACATTTCAAATATAATGTCATGGAATCTGTGAGTGTTCTAGCTTTTAAACTATAATATTTTGCTCATATGAGGTATCTAAAGTCAGAAAGTAGAGTGGTAGATGTCATGGACTGGAGGGACCATGGACTTGGTCCATTGGACTCTTCAGTTTTTAAGATGAAAAGAGTTCTGGAGGTGGATGATAGTGTTAGTCATGCAACAACATGAATGTACTTAATACCACTGGAATGTGTACTTAAAATGATTAAAATGGTAAAAAACGAGTGTTAAAATGGTAAAAGTATCAAATGTGCTGTGAAATCTGTGGATGTTCCAGCTTTTTAAAGCTTTACTCTTTTGCCCTTACAGATTTCTAGAAAATTGAAAAAATAGAACTATTAACAAATATAGTTATGTTTTAGCTGAACCAAAAAAGAGCATTTAAAATGGGTCAATGTGACCCTTACGCTGAGAACCCCTAACTGGTTCCAAAGCTGATTTGGGGCTCCTAGCACTGAGGGAATAAGGAAGACTTTTTTTCCTCCAAAGACCTGGTCCTTCCATAATTCTTAGACTTATCTTTTGCCCTCTCACTTTCTCTTTCACTCCTGCACACAATATCCATGCGCAATCTACTACGTAGACACAAAAATGATTATATGATAGTCTCAAGGATACTCAGAGGAAAGCCTTTACTGCATAATTGAGTCTGAGCTCAGGTATCACTGAGTCATCACCAGGTCTTTCTTTGGCGATCTGTTATACTTTGCATAACAACTTCGGCAAAGTAAAAGAATGTTAGGGCCCCAACATAAAAGACAGTAGGAGTGGGGATAGCCCTGGGAACGTGGACTGGGGATGCAGCCTATCCTTAGAAACACAGGGTGAGAGGAAAGGAAGGAAATTTATGGTGAGGCATTTAGGCAAGGTCCAGCCAGCTCACTGGGCCAACACAGGCAGTGAAAAAGAGAATTTGGGAAATTTGGAGTCTGCGTAGACACTTAGGACTCAACTTGGTTCAACTGATGACTGGTTTGGCTTGGCAGGAAAGGAGCTGGTGGGATGAGAGGAGTGAGGTTAGTGTCCTGAGACTTATACCAAAAGACTGGATGACATTTGAGAGTTCCAGTCGCCCATTACTGAGAACATTCTGAACAACAGGTTTTAAATCGCACCTGGGGGTGGTATTTTACCCAGTATAGGTATCAGATTTGACACTTTTACTTTTGTTTTTATTACTCTAACTGTGCTTCCCCGCCCCACCCCACCCCCTGCTATTTTCAAAAAGTGAGGCAAGTTTCTGGCCATATCTTTATAGGATTGACTTTATGATCCAATATAAACATGCTTTAATATTTTAAAGTAAACCTACTCCCAGAGCTGGTTAGCTTTTTTTTTTTTTTTTTAACAAACTTTTCTTTCCATGTTTCAGTTATCCATTTCTGTGCAAAAAAACTACAACATTTAGCAACTTACAAAGACAACAAATAGTTATTTCTCAGGATTCTGTGGGGCTGGCTGGTCTTAACTAGAAGGTTCTCAGGTGGTACGGTCTGGGGTCACTCATGTGGTACATTCCGCTAGGAGCTTAGCTGGGGCTGGAACATGTAAGGTCACTGCACTCACACACCTTGGACCTCAGGTAGGGTGTCTGGGATGTTTGAGCCTAACTAGGTCTTGGTTCCTTTCTGTGTAGTTTCTCCTCCTCCGGCAGCCAGAGTTTCTTTACATGTTGATTGGCTCCCAAGGCAGTGAAAATGGAAGCTTCAAGGCTCAGAAGTCACCCAGCATCACTTCCAAGGGATTCTGTGGATCAAAAAAAAGTCCTGGGGCCAGCCTAGGTTCAAGAGCAGGGAATACAGACCCTACCCCTTGATGGTAAGTGACATGAATTTGCACGGACTGGAGGAATTGTTGGTAACCATACTTGCAGGCAATCTACTAGTGCAGATATAGGAAACTGATGCCAAATGGAATATTTTGCTGGAGAATGGGTCCAACTAAAATTCTGAGGTTTTTCATCAAGGTTTATATTTAACAATATTACGTAATCCTTATATGGGAAATAGTGTAGTATGTTAGAGTTTTATATAAATCTCTGCAATCATCAAAGAGAAAAAAATGAACCTCTCTTTTCGAGTATACAAAAGGCGGGGTGGGCTTTGAGGTTGAGCATGTGGGTTTGAATCTTGGCTCTTCCAGGTATTAGCAATAGGATCTCAGGCAATTTTCCCTTTCCCTCTCACATTTTCTCCTCTGTATCATAGATTGTTGTAAGGATTAAATGAGTTAATATAGCTAAATGACTTCACAAGGAGCCTGGAACGCAGTAAATATAGAATCAATATTTGCTGTAAAAATATAAATTATTAATGCTTATTATCATGTAACATTGCAATACCTGTTTGGATTAAACCTCCTGGAGCTGCAAAGTTCTCTATTGTCTCATTAAACTTAATCATTAATCTTGATGAATTTCTCTGCCTCCCACACCCCTTAACCAAGTAAAAAGGTAGGTGAAACAACTGGTTGCCTAAAAGGTGTTCTAAAGGAAACACTTATCAACTTCCAAACATTGCAGTCCTACGAAGAAATAGAATTTACATTGTAACGCAGGACGCTGTAACCCAGACACTTACCCACACTTAATACTGTACAAATATTTCATGAAATAATACTTAACCCTCGCACGTTGTGCTACAAACTCTGAAGCTTTTGCCCTATTTAAGTGATTTGAAAACAGCAAAATGTTGGTTGTGCCCCACTATTATTAATTTCGTTACCTATTGATGGGTTTTAACCTATATATTATGGCCATTGGCACAGAGCATATTAAATACATTCTCAGATCACGAGTCATTTTAAGTGTGGTGCTATAAGACAATGGCATATGTCATTCCTATACAGGCCAATTCAGCTATGGGTCAGAAAGCCATTTCATAAACGTGGCCTGACCACCGTATTTGAGAGGCTTCATAAATTCTTCCAGTGGGATAGGGGGAACTAGGGGAAATACATGCACAGTAAATGTTGTGATTTTAGGTACCCTAAGAAACAAAGTGTCAGTTGGTTAAGCATCTGAGCCTTGATGTCAGCTTAGGTCATAATCTCGGGCTCCTAGAACAGGACCCCCCCCCCCCCCAGCTTTCCTACTCAGCTGGGAGTCTGTTGAGGATTCTCTCTCCCTCTTCATCTGCCCCTCTGTCTACGCTCTCTCTCTCTCAAATATATAAATTTTTTAAAAAGAAAAGAGACAAAGTGCCTCATTTGTTTGGAGGTAGATGGACCTAGGCTGGAATTCCAATTTCACAACTTACTACATTGTATTTTTGAGCAAGTTATTTAAACTCAGTTTTGGAGTCTTGATTTTTTGATTTGTTCAAAGTAATAAGCAAATAATATCTATTTTGACTGAGTTGTGAGCATTAAATGAGAACACATACCCAAAGGCTGGCAAACAACCAGCATAGTACTTGGCACAAAGTAGGCTCTCGGAATGCCTTTCTTGCTTCCTTCCCCTATGATGGAATACAAACTGCAGAATTCATAGCTATTATTTAAGTTCTGTGTTTTTTATTTTTGGAGAAAAGCTGAGGCTTGGTAGAACACTTAACTATGGTAAACTATTATTTCTTTAATACAATTTAATTTTTACAACTGCGTATTGCCTGACATTCTACTTAGTGACATTTAATAGTTATTAATTGTTCTGGGATGTGGATATGAATTATGAAACAATTTTGTGTTGTGGGATCAGCTCTCAAAGTGGGATTTGGATTGACTTCCCAGTTATCAGCACAACTGTAGGAAAAAAATGTGTGTAGAGGAGAAGAGCATTTCTAACTGCTGTGTTGCTAAGTAATTTAAACAAAAATGATGTGCAAATACACGCACTGCTTTTTTTCTCTGGGCCAAATGTTATCATTGATCTAGTGCTCCAGGCCAGTAGCGTTTTACAACAGGTTAGCTAGCTTTTGAGGAGTCAAAGGGTAATTGCCCGAGATCCTAGGTTGATTAAGACCATCTCATGGAGTCACTGAATCTCTAGAATGGGACTGGTTATTTTAAATTTCTGCCTTTAAGGTCAGGAGGATTATGAAAGTGTGCGAACAAGGGGAAGAGGGGCGTGACGCCTTTTCCCGACTCCCGGGCGTTAGCCGCCGCCAACCGCCGCCGCTGCTGCACCCACGTGGCAAGTGCAGACAGCGCAGCGCCGGGCGGGGGCCGGCGGGCCGACCCCTCCCTTCGCTCTCCGGCCCTTCCCGCCAGCCGGCCGGGCGCCCGCTCGGTCCTCCACCGCCAGGGGGCGGGCGCGGCTTCCCGGCGGCGGGGGCCCATTGGTCGCGGCGGGGAAGCGGGGAGGAGGCCCAGCGGCGAGCTGGCTTCCTCCAGGCCACTCGCGGGGGTGAGGGGAAGCCGGAGGAGCCCGGGAGAAAGCGGAGGAGGGAGCAGGAGGCGGCGGCGGCGGGTCCCGTCGGCCTCCGGCAGGACTGACCGCTCAGAGGCCGGAAGACAGGCGCGAGGCCAGTGAGACGGACGGGGAGGCGGAGGGAGCCGCGGCGGAGGGCGGGGAGGGATGGTGGGCGTCTGAGGGGAGTCGGGGACCCACCGTCACCTTCATCCTCCGCTCGCCCGGCCACCGCCGGCTGGGGGCGGGCCCCGGAGCGCGCGCCCGGGTCGTGGTGGCGCATCCCGCGGCGGGGGCGGGGGCGGGCGCAGGTAGGACCGGGGCCCCCGGAGTGCGGTTGGCCGGGGTTCGGGCCGCCGCCCTGCGGGTGCATCCCCAGCTCGCTGTCTCCCTGCCCGGGTCCGCGGAGGTCGGGGCGGCGCCTGCACCTGGCGCTCCGCTGGGCGCCCCGGCCGGGCTGCACCTGGGTTCGCGCCCTGCGGGGGGGCCCCGGCTCGCAGTCGGAAACCCGGGCCCAGGGCTCTACAGAGGCGGCGGTGAACTGGTGTTGCAGTGGTACTCTGTGGAAGGCCGTCTTGGCTCACTTGTAAAGTTTCAGCGTCTCCTAAACTGGAGGTACTTCTCATTTTTAAAATTCATCCAGCTCATGGATATTCGCTGTCATTGATGAATGTACTGTTCCTTCTTTTTCTTCCCCCTTTTTTTTTTTTTTTTTTTTTTGGGCTACTGTCCTCAAAATTCTCTACTCTGTACCACGGTTAGGGACACTAGATCTAAATAATATAAATGACACATTGATGATTTGAGGTTGAGCTGTGTTTCTTCATCTTCTCCCCGATCCCACTCTTTTTAAGTTTCATAAAATACAGAGCTGCTGTCTAATCGACGCAACCTTTTGTTTTTATTTTCTTAAGTCAGAAATATATGGATACAAGATAGGATACTAGGTAGTATTATATTGCTTACTGGGCACTGTGCTATATGCTTTCATATGCACATTTATTCTCACCAGCCAGAGTTCTTTTATCTTTCTTATTTTTACACATGAAAATGTGAACTCTAGAGGTTAAGTAAAGGTTGATGGTGACAGAAGATGCCAGACCCCTTGGACCCTTGACTGCCTTGCAGGTTTAGGGGTATACTGTCAGATTTACCAAGTTTTTGGAAACGTTGCTAATATTTGTACAGTGCATCATGTAGTACAAAGAGATCTCCGTTTAACTTAGAAAATAAAGTTAATAGCTTATGCTCTTGGCATCAGTTCAGGTCATATCATTAATTGTATCTCTTTCAAAAGGCCCCCAGTCTCTTTAGTTCTCTAGCTGTTTACAGAACTTAACCACCACCCCGCCCCACTTTGTACAGGTGTTAGAAGCTTTCTTTCACAAATTCTATGTAGTGTGTTCTCAGCTCGCTAAAGATTAGCATTTCTTGATAGTGAGAAATGTAGAGTCCAATGCAGTGATTCTCAACCTGGGATCTTTTAAAATCCAACACAAATGAGGCTTTTAAAAAAGGCCACAGGCCACATTCCTCAAAAATCCCCATGGTTGGGAGGGCACTTGTGTTTCAAAAGGGAATCAAAATAAGACTGAGTGCCACTGGGTTAAAGTGGCTTTCAAGATATTTTGTTATTTTGTTATAATTACAAAATTTGGATTGCTACCTTAAGTGTTGGTAATTAATATTTAATAGTTGATGAAGATACATTAACAAGGAAAGGTAATTTGAGAGAGGGGCAAGAGATTGTTGAATGGCAAAAAGTGGTTGTCTCAGTTTTGGATTATCAGAGTCTTTTTTTTTTTTTTTTTTGACCACCTATTTTAAATCTTAAATGGTGAGCGTTAGTGTTCAAAAATTCATTTAAAAATATTGAAGTACCTCCTATGTGCCAGTTATTATAGGTATCATGGATACTATGAATAAGATAGGCGGGGCCTTCATAAAGCTATTTTCTTTGAGACAATGAGTCTTTCTCTCTCACTCTCTCTTTTTTTTTCTTCATTTTTATACTCATTTCTTAAGCTGAAAGGTGTAAGACCCAGGAATCAACAAATTTTGGCCCTAGGTCTCATAAAAGTCCAGCTAGTTCAGAACTTAGTACAGTAGCAAACATTTGTTTTGTACTTAGTCCAGAAAGATACCTGTCCTTCGGATCACACATCTGGATTTTAAGCCATAGTTCTGCGTTTAGCTGCTTCATAAATGGCATTGACCAAATTATTTAATTCCACACAGAGCCTTATTTTCTTAATTTGGGGAGATTGAGCAAGATTCCCAAGATATTTAAACTTTAAGAGGTTTCGTGACTTCTATTCAGCTTCTAAAATACAGTCAGCTGACTCTCTCAGAAGAGGAAATTAAATGTTCCAGTTCTTCTAAGTTTCCACTGCATACCCACTGGTATTCTTTCATTCTCTTTTTCATTGGCCTCCTCCATTTGATTGAAGCTATTCTAAGATGACTTATATTTCCCTGATTTCTAATCCAATTAATTTTTTCATCTACTCTTTATGATTTTTCTAGTCTTACTCTGGTCAGGTTTTTTTGTTTTTGTTTTTTCCCGATTTCCTTCTTTAGGAAATTCATTCAGCATAAAATTCACCATGTTAAGGTGTACAGTTCAGCGGCATTTAGTACATCTACAGTGGTGTGCTGGCGTCACCTCTATTTAGCTCTGAAACACTTCATCATTCTGGAAGGAGACTTCATATCCATTAAACAATTACTCTCCATTTCCCCTTCCCTTGAGCCCCCGGCAAGCACGAGCCTGCTTTCTGTCCCTGTGGATTGACCTGTCCTGTATATTTCATATGAATGGAGGCCGACAAAGTGTGCTCTCTCAGGTCCAGGTTCATTGACTTAGCATGATGTCCGTAGGACAGCACGGAAGAGTACTTCATTCACGTTATGATTAACAGATACCCCACGTATGGATGCAGTCCACATTTTGTTCATTCATTCATCCATTGATGGCCCCTGGTGAGTTTTTGTGTGCTGGGGAGAAAAAGTTAGGCTGACATCTGTAGCAGGGAGTCAGTTCCTGAATTGATTTTCATCACCAGCTCTACACGACTTAAGGCACAGTATGATATCAGGCATATTATCGATACTATTCAGTATCTACAACTAAGTGATCATTCAGTGTGTTTTGAAGGATCAACAAGGATGGACTTCTTCCTTGGTTCAGGAACTTTTACCCCAGAAGCTTCTTACTACCTCTTTGCAAATGGCTGCTGTCATTCAGCTTTTGTGGTAGAAATGGTGCACCATCCAGGACAGACAGAAAGGCTCTGCTCCTCCATTTCTTCACGTGGAAGGTTTGACTGACAGCGCTATGCCTGCTCTGGGTCAGTGAAATTCGCAGACTATTTAAAGGCAGTTTTAGGGGCTCCCTGGGTGGCTTAGTGGGTTAAGCCTCTGCCTTTGGCTCAGGTCATGATCTAAGGGTCCTGGGATGGAGCCCCACATCTGGCTCTCTGCTTAGCAGGGAGCCTGCTTCCCCCTCTCTCTCTGCCTGCCTCTCTGCCTACTTGTGATCTCTCTGTCAAATAAATAAATAAAATCTTAAAAAAAAAAAATAAAGACCATCAGTGCAGCGGCTTTGTGGGGGAATTCTTAGACATTCATTCAGAATAGGAACTTGTAACTTCTCATCCGATACAATGTAAAATAGTTTTAGGAGATGAAGATAGTTACACTGTGTGGAAATCTGTGCCTTTCTCTGATCTTTTTTGTTGTTGCAGTTTGTGACCTGGACACTTCTTTACCCTATGTATGTGGAACTTCTTACAGTTAAAATGTATTTCGTTTTTATTTCTGCCATTGTTTTCAATGATACCTGTTTCTGTCTGTCCGTCTTTCTTTTCCGGGATGGTAAGGTGTAGGATTAAGTGGTTTACATTACAGCTGTTTAATCCACAGTTGTAGAACTCTGAGGGAGCTGGCAGAACTAAATGTCATTTTGTTTTCTGTATTTGGCATGTTGGTGCTCTCAGTTACAGAAATCTGATCACTGTTTAACTTTTTCCACTGGATTATAGCTTTTTAAGCGAAATTCTGCTTTGGTAGGTGAGGAGAAACTGCAAGAAAACATTTGGGTAATTTTGAATCTAATACCGTTGTAACCATTGCAAACGAGAGTTCTCTTTGCTCTATTCCTCAGTACATTATCTCCAGATTTATTCACTGCCCCCCTTTCCCTCCTCACCCCAACAGGAGACCTGGCCCAGAGTCAGGCTGATTTCCATTCATTGTTAAGGAAAGAATGAAATTCTTGTTTTATGAGTTTTACCTTTGGGCTTTTGTGGCCTAGATCTGCCTCACCCCCTGCTCCCATCTCCAGACTTCTCTGTGTGTTTGGGTTGCTGTACTGTAGATCTGAAGTTCTCAGATCCAAGTGAGAGTGAGAACCACCTGGGGAGCTCATTAACATGCAGGAGTGTTAATCCTCCTAGGGATTCTGGGCTCAGGAATTTGCATTTTAAAAAGCCCACCAATAATGGTGGCGTCCATGCTGTGAGTTACATTGTAGTTAAGGCTTCAAAGAAGCAGATATGCTGTTTCATTGAGCCTAAGATATTTGTAAGGTACACCATTATTTTATATACTACTGTAGGGGGAAATGTGGTTGTAAACCTCATCCCAGTTTAAGATATGTTATAATGAGGGAAGTAGTGTGTACTTTGGAATCAATAAAATCACCTCAGGTGCCCCAGGAACCACAGGCTCCTCTTAAAGTAAATGATTAGTATGAGTCATAGAAGCCATGAGATACAAGAATTACAGTGTAGCATTTCTTCAGATCTTTTACCACATAAAGTATTTGTTTACAATACAATTTAATGTAAGGTGTCCTTACCTGGCATTTATCTGTAATGAAGATTATACTGATGACTTGTTTTAAAAGGCAGGCTAGCTGGATGGAAGGGTGTAATGCACTCCAGTATGGCCCCGTATCATTTTCCCCCTATCCATTTCCAGTCCATTTATATGTTGGTAGTTCAGTTCAGACAGAAGTCTTATTTCTGGTTTCTTGGTACATCAGTGATTTCCATTTTGTAATTACAATTCACTGAGATATTAACGTAATGTCACGTTGACATCATGGGCGGCTTGATTGTTTGATTTCTTTCTTATTTCCTTTTTCTGTTAGAGTCCCTGCCCCTCATTAATGCCAGCAGCTGGTAATATCCTTGTATACCAGCCATCCCCTGTCCTGTCTTGAGTGGTTACAGTGTATCGTGGTAATAATCCGAGTAAACAGCACTTTTTCTCTGAGAAAACCTGGACCCTGGCTGCCAGCCCAAGAAGTGCCTTCGTGGCGTATGAGGTACTGAGTGACAGTGCCTGTGGGTTCGAACAACTCTTTCTCCGCTAATGAGAATTCGCCGCAGAACAGCCCCACGCAGTGCTTCCTTCAGTGGTATCATCTTCGAAAAGGAAATATTTTTGTCAGGAAGAAGTTGGTTAGCCCTGTTAGATTTGGGAGGGGAAGCAGAACACGTGTCCATTCAGGTTTTTAATCACCCGAAGTATTCACAGAAAACTGTTTTAAAAGCTTGTTGAACCACTGAAATATTTCCGAAATCTGATACCTCAGAGTTCTGAAGAGG